ATATTGCTAATTCCGATACATATTGCATCAATTCTGTGCATTAAAAAAAAATAGACACGGCACCTTGCATTTTCACCGCACGGCCTCGTGCCGTGTCACGAAGAGGCCGCGTCATATAATAGTTATGCGATCGGACCCTGAGCTTGTGCTTATTTAAGCAGAACATTACAATTTTTAATTAAGTTCAATTAACAACTGACAATTTGATGTTGAATGCAACACTTTTGACAGCGAAATGCGGTAAGAACGCCCACGCGAGACATGCGTTTCCTCTTGTGGATTTTTTATAACAGTTCATTTAAAAAAATTAAATAGTGCATTAATTAAAAAAAAATGTATGACAGGAACAATTCATTGTTCGGTATACATTTAGTTACATTTACTGATGATGTTTTGAAATCAATTTTAGTTGGTATATTTTTTTTTTATTGCTTAGATGGGTGGACGAGCTCACAGCCCACCTGGTGTTAAGTGGTTACTGGAGCCCATAGACATCTACAAAGTAAATCCGCCACCCACCTTGAGATATAAGTTCTAAGGTCTCAGTACAGTTACAACGGCTGCCCCACACTTCAAACCGAAACGCATTACTGCTTCACGGCAGAAATAGACAGGGTATTGGAGGTACCTAGCCGTGCGGACTTACAAGAGGTCCTACCACCAGTAAAATTATTATGTTATGTTAATTACGTTTTATGTTAATTTTCTCATACATAGGTATAGGTATAGATTTGATCAACTTCCATTTTCAGCAACGCTGCACATTTGTATTTTTTTTTAATCAAATTTGACAAAATCCACTCTAAAGTTTTCGACTATGAAATCCACCTTCAATATATATATATATATATATTAATATATATATATATTAATATATATATATTAAGAAAGGTGGATTTCATAGTCGAAGACTTTATATATATATATATAATATCACGTTTTTATATATATATATATATATAAAAACGTGATATTAAAATAGCCTCAAAACGGATTGTGTAAAGTTAACGATTTTATTTTAATAGCAGTGCACCTGTAGCCTATAACGGAGCAAAAACTGTATTATAACCGCTCATAATCAACAATAATCATTGAGTGCAATAACTGTCAAAACGGCACTAAATATTGTTTGTTAAATGCCATAAGCTTTGTATTTTTTACAGCGTTCCACACCTTGGGCCATACAATAAGCTGCTGATCCATAGAATATGTAATATTTAGAGCATCTATATGGAAATTAATGAAAATTACAATAATATTCGGTGACCAAATCAAAATGATTATATATGTTTGGTTGAAGATTTACTTGTCGCCATTTTGTTGCTTCAATGACGATGTATTATTTTTACTTTTTATTACCCTTGTAGGTGGATGAGTATACGGCCCTCTTCATGACGAATGGACGTCAGCAACGCAAAATATTTATGCTATAAGCATTATTTGAACGCTTGCGTCTTTTGGAGTTATCGTGGCCTAAAGGATAAGACGCCCGATTCATTCGTATCGACCAATGCGACTGCGCCGGTGTTCGAATCCCGCAGGCGGGTACCAATTTTTATAATTAAATGCTTTCTTAACTAATGTTCACAAATGACTTCCACTGTCAAGGTATAATAACATCGTGTAATACAAATCAAACCCGCAGAGATTATAATTTGTGCAATGACTGATGGTAAGATGTCTTGTGAGCCCGCACCGGTAGATACCACCACCCTGCCTATTTCTGCTGTGAAACACTTCGCGTTTAACCTTTTGTACTGTGAACAGACTCTTAGAACTATGTACTATGGCGGAAAATGACGTTGTAGATATCTATGGGCTCCGGTAACCACTTAACACCGGGTGTCTCGTGAACTTATCCTCCAATCTAAGCATTTTTTTTTTTCTAAAATAGGTATTTAAAAATGGTACTTTACTCATTACAGAAAGCTCATGCGTTTTTAAAACTAACATACTTAATGAATTAATTTGTTGTCCTCTTTTAAAGTCTATGGTAAAAGCAATCGGAAGACAAGCCAGGTGCTAAAGCTCAACCCGAACTTTTGTTAACAAACCGAATAACTTTTGTATTCAAAACAACAATTCAGTATTTCAGTATTACACCAATTAATTACAACATTACATTGTGGTCTGTAAATTTATTGAAGAAAATAAAAATTGTTAGATATGATTTTAAAATCGCAACTATTTTTCTTCCTACTTTTCAGATAAGAAAAACAATACACATGGATATTTTAACAAAAAAATATGTGTTTTTTTTTTAAATTACATTATTATAGGCGATTCGTAATTCATTTTTTTTGCACAGAAATAATTTGTAAGTGACTGTGCTTTTAAAGATAGCTCGTGAGCGACGCCATTTACTTCCACTTCATATTATTTATAAGTACGTAATTGTCGATATTAAAAATCGATAAAACGATTAATAAGTCCGGTGATCGATCAAACTGCGGATGTCGATCATTTATGCGGACACCTCTCGACCGTCCAACCTATAGATACTATATTAAAATATACAGTATAAAGTGTTTAAGGAGAAGCTATTACAAGCCGTCGTATTTTAAAAATAAAACAATGAAAACTAACCTCGCTTTTGAAGTTATTCTCGGGAAGTCGAAAATAATGCCCGTATTTTTTTGAGTAATGGCCTATTGACAAGATCATAAAGATATTGAGGATAATCGTCCGAAAGACGAACCGCTCAGCTAAGCCGCAAGCCAATTTAGCAACGTCACTTAACATATAAAACATTCGGACATAAAGAGGGCACGTTATGACTTAACATTTATATGTTTTGGACAAAACTCATTGTCGAAACGTTACGGGCACGGCGGACATAAATCGTTCATCGGTTAGTTCCCTCTAACAAAGTCCGTTCGGCAGTAAAGCGGCCGATTGTAAATCAAAGCGACGAATCGAAAAAATGAAAAATAAATAAATCGAGACGCCCGACATTTCTCGTGAGCAATGCCCCGCTAGTGACGTGTCGTCGCAGGCACCTGCCGATCAATATCGATACGACTCGATGGTTTATCTGCGTACTAGCAAATACTCATTTTATCAACATAAAAAAAAAAATATTACTGGATTTGTTTCATCCTAAAAATAATAGAGCATCAAAAACTTAGATTGTAGAATTCACTAAATTTATTGGACCGGACCACCAACAGCTAATATAATCTAAGTTATTTCCTAAATTTGATCCCATGAAAACGATATATTATTAATGAATTCGTAACAACAGTCAAAATAATTTTGGTAAAGTGTAGATAATACGGTGGGAAACGCCGGTGGTCCTCAAGGGCTTACCCTTTGAAAAGAAACGTATTAGGCATACCAATAAAAACAGATAAAAAGTATTACGAGTGTCAAGAGATAAGAACCCGGTTTCACGTACCAATCCGTAGCACAGCATGAAAATAAGCGGAATAAATAACACATTTCCTTGTGATCGTTTGCTTTTATTTATTAACTTGAAAAAAAAACTATTTTTTTTTGTCTGTATCAGTTTAAAGATAAGCCATTTTGAAACGGCTACTAAATAAATTAATAGACATTGCATTGTTGGGCAATTTAAAAACACGCTCCAACACCCTCCCCGGTTATAATTTGTCCCCGATATCCCATTTTGATTGGACTGTCTGATTTATCTCTTGTTTAGCCCTTGTATACGTAGCTTTCGAATCATTGATACTTTTACGAACCTCCTGATTTGGTTTAATAAATAAAATACTAAAATAAAATTATATCTTAGTTTTTTATGCTTTGTTTTGGTCAGTCGATTGTGTATCGCTCCTTTGTCATTTGCAGAACTGCGAACCTGAGTTCTTTCTGTAAGTACTTGAATGTAAATTAATAAAAATGTACTACTATATGGCGTTGATGTTTTTATTTAATACACGCGTTGAAGCTAACCTCTCGGCATAAATCTATGAGTATTTTTTACCTAATTAACCTCTTAATTCTAAATAGAGATAGTGTTTATCTACTTCTTTAAGGTTACGTTACTAGACGGCATTGATTATATGTTCAATTATTATTTTTTACTATACCACTCATGCACTTTCGCTGACCATTGTACATGGTTTTAAGTAAAGGATTTTGGATCGGTATTTGTCACATTTTTTTTATTGCCGTTTTCCTCCAACACATTTTTATGACAAGTATTAAAACTTGTTTGTCACAGTAGCTACAGTTGCAACAATGGGAGGTTATCCCTTGAGATTGAAATTCTCTCCGGGTTAGTGACTGTTACAGTGATTTAGAATAACTACACTCGCGATACGAGGGCTCCGTCCCCGCTCATACCATATGACGTAATAAGAGGATTATATCCATTCCGTACACTTGCTCCAAACAACCTATTTTGTTAGAACAACCACAATCTTATAAGAGACCATAAAAAAATTAAACGTTGCCCGTTCGAATTAGGATTTTCTGCTGTTTTTTGTGACTCCGCCAAAAAATCGAAGCCTCATAGCCAATGAAAAGATCAATACGAACTGAATGTAAGAAATAGTACAAAAATATAAAATATGTTTTCATAGTTTTTGAAAATGGTAATATGAGATTAAAAACAATAGTTTTTTCTCTAGCTATGATTGCTTCACATGCTTTTTATATTGACGTTATTTAATTGTGGTCGTAAATAATAATAAAAAAGTAATTAGCGCATGCAAGCGAAACCAGAAAGGAAAAATACAAAAATATAAATCTTAGAATTCATAGACAATTCAAATTAAATAAACTTCTGTTAAAGAATGTTCTTTTTCTTTATATTGACATATCAATATGTGCGAGTGTCTCGTGAGAGTCGTATGGTGCATGCTCCCTTTGCCACAGGGGCGAAAGGATCCCGTGCTCGTCCGTACACAATGCCAATTTTCCGCTCACCGCCACCGACTACGCAATTATTTAGATAAACCTCTCGGCGTGACTATAAAAACATCTTCCCCTCCCCCCATGTTGTTTGTTGTCTTTGGGGCTTTGCGAATTTATAGCCCTGCATTACGCCGACGGTTAGGAAAAAATGTACTTTTAATTTATCTCGTTAAAGGGTTGAAGGACGGCTGGGTTCGCGAAGTAATTATTCCGGAATTGGCCACTTTAGCTGATGAATCCATTCCGTTGAGCCGTTTGTTGGGGGTTGATTGTACACTGAATTAATTTGTTTTTGACTCGATCTCAACGGAGTGAAAGATTACATTACTTTGATGAGCAGAGCAATTCATTACAGGTTCGTTTCGAGATTACGATCTGTTTTATAAATGTTTTTTTCTTTCGGTGCGAAGTTTTATTGAATTCTTACCTGCCAGTTTTGGTGATGATCATTTCTGTACCGAGGTCATGAAACTTGTCCCAAAGCTCTTTGGTCTCCAATTGACAGTCCACGGAGAGAAGTTCTTCGCAATTGCAAGATGTGGCTGGAGGAAGCGGTCTGGCCGGTGAGGGGGTATCACGTTCGCCTAATTCTGTAGATTTTTTATTTATTTTAAATATCATTCGTCCTATATTGAAGATTAGCGAAATTACCAACACTACATGGAACGAATTTCGGTATTACATAAAAATATCAATTCATTATTATTTTAATTATTAACTAAACCTATACTTTTATTGTAGACCAAACCTGTAGGCAACCCACCTATAACACGGTAGATACGTTCCTACAAAGTCACGTGTTGTGCGAAACCGTGTTGTATGAGGCTAGAAGCAAAAGGAAAGTTTTTTTTTTTAATGAAACATCTCAACTGTGTATGTGTTTTTTACCTGTTATACACAGAAATTAAGTAGTAAAATTTCGATTATACCCATATGTATATTTTGTGTTCATAGTGCATAATGTAATTGTCTAAATACAAATTTTAAACAAAAATCTCGTTATCGTGTTGTAGAAGTACCGTGATATCAGAGAGTCATCATCATCATTCTATCCCATTACCCTCTGCTGGGATGTAGGGCTCGAATCAAATTATTCATAGAGTATTGAGATATATATGAGATATCAAAGAGTATTGAGAAAATTTTCTATCCGTGTTAAAGTGGAAACGTGTTGTAAAATACCGTGCTATAGGATTGTTACCTGTATGTACTTCCGTCACCATAACAAATTATTTAACATTTTTAATATTTATTTTAGTACTAACGTATTTTTACAAATCATAGATATAATTAAATCTACTTTAGGGTTCATTGATCTCGCTTATCATTTTCAATTTACAATTAATTTATTATTAATATGTTACCTACTACTATACCTACAATTTTAGTTTTACGTATCGAGCACCTACAATTATCGTGACAAACCAACAAGTCGAATTCAGTACTATTATTTGTCTTTGTAAAAAAAAAACGTTAGTATCAATAAACATTTTTAGATTTATTCAATGGTAGTCAACGGAATATGAAATTTGTTGAACAAATTTCAATTTAATCGACGGTAATTACGGGAATATAAAATAATCTAAACTTCGTAAACGACATTATGAAAATCATAAACAAAGATGAAGAAGATATCATAAAAATTGCTTAATTAAACATCTATATATTTATCCACATTTAATTGCAAATATTATAAGTCCTCTTCGATATCAGCACAGAGATTTCTAGATGATATTCAGAAAAAAACGATAGGTACAAAAAGCGTTAAGAAACAAAAAAAAACAGCGATTTGATGAAACATATATCACTGCCTTTCTACAAATATCTTTAAAACACACAAATAAATACATGTCTTTACAGTTTCACAGTAGTCTATCTAGCCGTAGAAGTAGGAACTAAACGAATACTACTGTGAGAATTTCTATGTGAGACTCGTTTCCGAGTCATTTTTTATCACTATATATCATGTTTTTTGCGGCGTAATGAATAAAAACCGATGCGTTAATAAATGCGGGAAATACACTTGTGATATAGAAGGCAATAACCATTTGTTTTATAGAAAGAAAAAGAAAAAAAACTCGTTTTGTTTTTTCATGTGATAACTTATGTAAAATTGATGAGTCCGTACATTTCCGATGCTGAATAGATTTTTTATATTGGTGTGGATGAGCGAGTAGACGTGCATACAGCCGGGCGTTGAATGATTGAGGTTCATCGAACAATTTTCGTCTGTATATTAGTAACGGTTGCGCTACCATTTAAGCCGGAGTTCGTGGTTGCTTGAAACCACGCATATAAATCGTTTACCAACCATGATACTATTCTCTCGGTTTTTTTTTTTTTTGAGGGTAGGTAGTAATTTTATATACATAGATAACACATATAAACTAGTTATAGATAAGCATCTCAAGCACTCAACAAAAATGTTTACGGGCGTCGGCCACTAGATGGCTTCACTTCGATTAGTTTCTCATTCCTCTTGTAGATGGCAGTAACATATTAACTATCTTATGTTTTATTTTTAATGAAGGAATTGTAAATTTTCGGAGGCAAATAAAGACTTGTATGATTTTTTTTTTATGTTCTGTGTTTAGTTATACAATAATTAAATGCCATAACTTTAACAACATAATATAAATTAAGGGGCATCCGATACAAGATGTCGCTAGTTTCCATACAAAAAAATATTTGTCTTAAAGTATCGAAGTTTCAGGGCTCTGTTATATATACACACCCTACTCGTTTTATCTTACCTGAAGATGGGGCGGGTGAGGGTGCGGCGTGATCAGACGCGTCTCTCTCGCCATCGGAACACTGTTCCACGTCCACCTCGACGTCCTCGTCAGGTATGGGCGACCTGCAGCTCGACGCGGGAGAGCTCAATGACGCGGGCGAACTCTGCCGGGATCCTAACCCTGGTGATATCAAACAAGCTATTTCAACGTTATTGTCTGCTCTTGCTTCCGCAAATGTTTTCAATTCAACTTATTAAAATGTCTTTTGAGCATAAAACGGATGTTATTATCTAAATGAATCTGGTATTCTTTCTGGGGTTTGATGACATTTTAGTTCCCAAAATATTCACCTCTTTGATAAGTTTTTTCTCTTGTAATATAATCTGCTGTTTATAGACTATGCTTAAATAATATTGCTTTATTTTTAACTTAACATAATTATATGGAATGAAATTTCCAGGCACTATTTTCATCGAAGTCAAATTTAACTTAAAATGATCATGCCAATCTTTGTAGTGATCAAGAGTGCCGAGATGAAGCGGTACCGTCTATGGCTTTTGGTTTTACGGCTACAACACAGGATGCCTCATTATGACCGCTACTGAATATATAAAAATACACTCGTTTGTTGAAAGCGATGGTCGTCGCACCGTGATAGGTGGTAGGACCTCTTGTGAGTCCGCACGGGTAGGTACCACCACCCCGCCTATTTCCGCCGTGAAGCAGTAATGCGTTTCGGTTCGAAGGGCGGGGTAGCCGTTGTAACTATACTGAGACCTTATATCTCAAGGTAGGTGGCGCATTTACGTTGTAGATGTCTATGGGCTCCAGTAACCATTTAACACCAGGTTGGCTGTGAGCTCGTCCACCCATCTAAGCAATAAATAATAAATAAATAAATTTGTAGGTACATTATGAAAAAAAACTTTGAACATCATATTTATCACTTTTTTTTTCTATTAATGATTTCTGTTATTTTTACTATTTATATGGGTAATGGGTTCATCCATATTGCATTTACTCCGCCAAATATTACGGTATATGAACGTTTACATTCATTATGTTTTATTTAGTTTATTTCAATCTTATTATAACATAAATTATGCATACATTTCATATTTCTGCAATCTTTCTCCATATGAATTTTACGCTAAATATCAATATGTACCATTCTCGAAATTTGCTTAAAAGAATTACAAGGATGAACAGTTTCTACAATTCACGTCACAAATACATATTATACGAACGCGCAAAAATTAATTTCGTACTTCCGACAATTATTATATTAATTAATTCTACGACTTTAAAAACCTGTAAAAATTTCGACACTAAGTACATTACTTTAGTAAATTATGTTAACTTATAACTTAGTGACTCCTATGATAAGTTGTTTGTTCTAATCAAGCAATCAGACTTTCTGCTAATTCGACTTTACAAGCTAAATTACCTTTAACTCAATAGAGTGAATAACAATTCTGCACATGATTTAATTTTTCAATGAACTTAAATCGTGAGAGTTATTAATATAGTTTAGATCGGGAAAAATTAGATCCCTTAAGATGAAGATTTTTTTGTTTTAATCCAATTTTGAATGATTTTCTTTCAATAAGACGTAATAGTAAGTAACGATTGTAAGCCCAATAAAGTAACTTTAAACTAATCAAACAGACTTTTAGCGTGGTCTTTAGAGTAGTCTATCTATATATATAAAAATGAATTGCCGTTTTTTTTTTTTTTTTTTTTATTGCCTTTGTAGGCAGACGAGCATACGGCCCACCTGATGGTAAGTGGTCACCGTCGCTCATGGACGTCAGCAATGCCAGGGGCAGAGCCAAGCCGCTGCCTACCATAAAGTACTCTCCGCAAGCCTCGTTTGAAGAAGGACATGTCATAGCGCTCGGAAAACACCGTGGAGGGGAGTTCATTCNGTGCTCTCTCTATCTAACATCAAATTAAAGCGCCTATAACTTCTGAACAGATTTTTAGTCAAGTCAGAATCAGTCAATAGAATCAATCGAGACGCATGCCGCGTGAATCCAAGTAGCTACATTATAACTTACTGCTCGATGAAATGGTAGGACCCCACGAGCGCGGAGCCGACGGGGGCCGACAGTCCCTTGCTGAAGCAGACGGACACGGAGTCGCAGTCCCGCACCACGCGCGCCGCCTCCTCCTGCGCGTGCGCACACGCGTTGAACAGCCTCGCGCCGTCCATGTGCAGCGCCAGAGAGTGTTTCTTGCACAAGGCCCCGACGTCGTCAAGAAATTTCAAAGGCAGGACCTGCAAGTCGATGTAGCCTTCTGTATTACTGGTGGTAGGACGTCTTGAGAGTCCGCACGGTTAGGTACCACCAGCCTGCCTATTTCTGCCGTTGCGCGCCGGTTTGCGTTTCGGTTTGAAGGGTGGGGTGGCCGTTGTACTGTTAAAACTGAGACCTTAGAACTCATATCTCAAAGTGGGTGGCGGCATTTACGTTCTAGATGTCTATTGGCTCCGGTCACCATTTAACATCAGGTGGGCCGTGAGCTCGTCCAACCACATAAACAATAAAAAAATAAAACATACTCAAACTTCTCTTTTTTTCGGGCTGGGGGCCGAACCTCCTACGACGTCTCCGCGCCTAGGGGGCACGGGGTATGTGGGACTTGACGATCTGTAGATGTTGGGAGCAGACCGCGGGCTCAAGGAATTTTAGGGCCCTAACACACTAAACGACTCCACTGCACACCCGACGTCCGATCTCCCTCCGCCCGGGGTGAGAACCCGGTCAGAGTACGAGGGGTTCCCGCGGTCAACACTACAACCAGACTCGCGGCGCCACCCGGTTTCACGCCTAACCACGCAAGACAACAATGAGACAAGTAGAGGACAACGAACTTAGATTATTCGATTGGTAATGATCAAAGTTTGTAAGGTAATTCGCGGTTTACTTTCTCTTATTTTTATGTTTATTTATTTATAAGCGTTAGATAACCTTTTGGTGCCGTACCACATATTTATTCTAAGTAGATCGAGCTCACAATCTAATTGTTTTTCAATCTAATTGATATTTTACAAGACCTATTACAATATCGTAAATTCATTCTGGTGTTACATAATTATAAACTAGTAGAACCAAATAATGGTACATGCACAGTTGTAATCTATAATTGTTTTTTTTAATGATTGAAAGATTACTGGTGGCCCGGAGGCCTTTCCAGCTTCATCAGGATAGGTTGGCGAGCAAAGGCTCAGCCAGGAGGGGTGGGATTTGCTAACAATTGCCCGAGCGCCTCCGAAGGAGACCTAACAACTCAAGAGCAATTGCTTCGCGAATGGATCTACTACCGGATAGGAATCACGACCCACTGAGAAAATCCGGCGAGAAACTCAGCGAGCTGATGCATGGGTACTCTATAATTGTATGAGAGAAACTCATGATACAAACGGTTCTTCATACCTTTCCTCCGCAGTAATTATGGGTATTTTCGACGGCAACCATAGCCGTTACTGGTTCATGTATATTCGAGCCCCTAATTCGTTCCTCCAGCTCTTGCAGGTCAAAAGTGCCATCAGGTTTATTGGCCACGGTCGAAAGCATCACTCCTGCTAAATGTGATGCTCCTCCTGAAGAATAAGATAAATAATTGGTTAAAATTATCCGTAGACTTTTAATATGAAAGTAGTTATCATTAATAAAATACCCGTATCCCAATATAGATAAGGTTTAATTTTCAAAATGTACGAAATTCACCTTGTGATGTAGCATCGCTAACTGGTTAAACCGAGCTGTGAAAAATTCCACAAATATCAACACAATGGTAGTTTTCCAATTACAGAGCATAATGCGACTCAGTGGTACACAATGCCGAATTATGCTGAAGCTTAATTGGAACGTGAATTAGTTTTCAAATGCATCAGCAGAGTGCGCTAAGTTAGCACAGTTTAAATAACATTGATTATTTCTAAGAAACTACGACGAAAAGAAAGCCTTACAATTTTTTTCAACATTAAATAATATTACTAACGATAATATAAACAAAATTTCTATCAATGCCAACTTAAAGAAAAAACACTTGTCAATTTNTGAGGTCTGATTTTTTGTTTTACAAGTTATAATTGCACAACACGGCACTATAAAGCGGAGATCTGTTCGCCAAGTAGTCCGAAGCGCACTAAACGCGGTGAATGAAAGAATCGGTCGAGTTATGTTTGTTCTATCATAACTGTGGCACGCTTGCCCCGCCTACATTACCATTCCAACCTTATTTATCTATTCCGTGAATTTCACAAATATGTAATTCATTTTTACAGACGATAACACTTGGTACACATTGAAATTGTTTTACATACATTATTATTAGTTCAGCATAGAAAAGTTTTTCTAGGCCATTTATATGTATCTACATACATTGAAAACTTGAAAGTGGAATCATTAAAATTCAAAATTATTCATTCAATTATTCAAAAAAGTATTATACAAACTTAATTTTATGAGCATTTTCAGCAATTATTTTAGGAATCCGAGATTAAGTGTTTTAAATGAAATAATGTTATCACAAAAACACAATTACGTAATATTGTAACAAAAAAAGGCTTAGATATAAAACATATTTAATTATGACTATCATTATTCACATTATCATTTGCTATTTACAATGACTTTATTGTGTCATAACCTTGTTTTTGTACAGTTTTGTAGGGTAAAAGAAATAACATGTTCTTTGTTTGCAAATAAAATATATTTATAATATCTAAACTACAATTGTAAAATTCATTATATAAAAGGCATTAATGTTAATCTTCAAAATATTTGTTGTTGAAGATTCTCCCCCCCCCCCCCAGGTATTCAGGGGGAGCCTATTCTAGCTATGCACTGGCTGGTAGAAATTTATGAATACTAGCAAGAGCAGCGCTTTGTTTCTACATTTGCTTCTATCTGGTGGTAGAGAATCTACCAGTAGTAGATTAGTAGAGAATCTACCACCAGGTCAGAATTGCGACCCACTAAGAAGATCCAGGGAGAAAGAAACTCAGTGGGTTACATGATATTTAAATAATTGTTGATTAAAGAACTAAATTGGGCATTAACCTTTAATTAATTTATGCACACTCATTCTAGGTGTTTTTTTATACTTGTTTTTATAATCAATCTTTTGTTAGAACAAAATAAGCTGAAAAACTTGTTTAACCCATTTAGGTTGATAACCAGACCAGTCTTTGAATCAAGAGAATGGTTAACCTGTTGGTGGTAGATGATCACTATTTCTCATAGATGTCATTGTCAAAAGCACACAACAATCAAATCAACAATGAAATATCCCCAATGATTTCAACTAGCAAATATAATATTATTGTAGATAAACATATTGGTTGATTGTTGCATTGTGTGGATCATATATAGCAAATTAGATTGTTATTTGGTTTTTCCATCTTGACAATCCACACAATTACAAAATGATTTGTATCATGAGAAAACTACCACAAGAATAATCATATTTTACATAAACACTGGAAATGTTAAATAAATAATTACATAGTTTTTTTTTGTTGGTACATAATTCAATTAAATTTAAATTTGTAGTTGTTGCCTAACATCTACTGATGAAAGATAGTAGATTAGTAGCAGATTGGTAGACAGCGGCTTGGATCTGCCCTTGACTTTGCTGAAGTCCATGGGCGATGGTAACCACTCACCATCAGGTGGGCATTATACCCCCTACTGCTATGCTGCCTATAAGGGCAATAAAAATAAATAAATAAAAAGATATAGTTTAACTACCAGTAGATGAGAATTTTACAATTTATAATACTTATTTCCTTAAATTTTGTCTATTGGTGGGAAATAGGTTTTGAGATTGCATTTTAGAATGCAGGTGTGATTTGACAGTTCTTCTTTGTTGGTTCTTGAAAGAGTGATAGTGATCATCAGGTCTTCCTAACTGATTTAATAGTCAGCCTAGTCCTATCTGTACTATTAGTGAATATCAACATTTCAATAGAGGGCATCCAATACATATGCTATACTTACTTTTTCATAGTGACAATATTTACAAGGTACTAACCAACTTCATATTTATAAATGTGTGAGAGATCCCCGACGAATGCTTCAGATCCACGCTTGTTACAGTGCACCATAACTGTAAAATGCAATACAAATAATTATGAAGGCCGTCTTCTATATATTACTAGTATGTCGACAATAAGTCAACTATTTCATATACATTAAAACGAATTCCGTAAAAATTATGAACTTTTCACATGTTTTTTTACAACAATTCAGCACATCGTGAGCACAGTGTTCGGAATGTATGTTCACAAATTTTTACGTTAGATCTCCAGTAATGATATCTACTTACTGGCAATAAGATTAGCCATAGTTCCAGACGGTACGAACAAAGCGGCCTGCTTGCCCAGCAGTGCAGCTATTTTATTCTCCAAGGCGTTCACTGTCGGATCTTCACCGTAAACATCATCGCCCAAAGCAGAGTTCACCATTGCATGTTTCATAGCTTTAGTTGGTTTTGTAACTGTGTCTGAACGTAAATCAACTACGTGTGCCATTTTATCACAATTATTTAAAAAGACCGCAAACTAATTGACGAAATTACTGCTAAACTTCAGATGATTTTAATTGAGCTTCACAGTAGGTATTTGTTATATTTATCTCATTTTAAACAATAACAACTAGAGGTCATTCATTAGCAATTAGAATTCAGTAATATTATAATTTATTATATAAATAATATCAGTTCTGTACAATTCTCTTAGATAATTATTTCATAATTTTTCTTGACATGACAAATGTCAATCATAGTTCATAGATTATGATTAAACACTTATTTTAAATGTCAATAATCAAATTAGATCTATTTTTCATGGAAAGGCAAAAGTATTATACCATATAGCCTAATCTTTTTTATATATATATATATATTTTTTATATGAATAATTTAATGTATGATAAAGTGAAATGATACGATAAGAATAAAATGATATGAAGTGAAATTAAGTCCATTAATTGGGAACATTAATCAATCGTCATGAAATTAAATTAAATGAGATGAGATGATATGAGATGAAATATAATCTCAGTAAAACGGAGGCTATTTACCGAGACTTTTTCAGTGGACTTTTTGGAGGATCTCGAGAAGCTACCTCCAGTGGCTTTGTTGCATTTCCCCACATTGGTGCCCTTTCACAGATCTTCTTCATCTTATCGCACTAGGTGGGGTCGGTATAGCTAATTTTTCTCATCCATTCTCTACTATCAGTCGTCATCTCAACACTCACTCCTCTCTCACTCATATCGTCATTCACACACTCCATTTATGTTTTCTTCGGTCGATCTCTTCCTCCTCTACCTTGCACTACAGATATTAAACCACCGTTATTACACATTTAAACCTGAAGAAACACTAAATAGACAAAATAAACCAATTCACACAACTTCGCTCCTCGCGCTCCCGCCAAAGAGTCCTTTCCTTTTCCTTATAAAAAAGTCCTTTTCCATTTTTTTTTATTGCGTAAGTGGTCAGACGAAAGATAATGCAAGCAAAGTACCTCTTAATAATGTTCTTTACGTCCATCCAGTACGAATCACTTTGTACAATAACAGTGAACATCGACTTATCTTGGAATGAAAAAGATCTAAATAACGGATACAAAATAAATATATATAATATGTTTTTTTTACAAAGACTTTCATTGTGCTAGTTACAGACGAAAAATTTGATCATGACGCATGGACTGTATTATTTCATTGAAAAGAACAGCATTAAACAGCAATGGTTTCTTTTATACGAATAAACATTGGTTGACACGACTGTACTCATATCACAATTTAAAAAAACGAACAAACTACTGGAGGATTCAGCAACGTGCCGTTCGACCTTGTATACTCGTAGTAACGAGTCTTTTCGAAGTTTGTAATAAAATCTTGAATGTCTTCGAGAAATTTGCATCTGTCGGTGCTACCCACCCCCTTTTTCAAGTTCTATCCAAGAGAGATTACCTACTTAATGGGGCGAAAAAGCGATTGTGAACCAGTGTCATTAATTCGACTTCTCTTACTTACTTACGAATTCTCTGGGCCGGGTCTCCCAAATACCAGCTTCATACAGAAGAGGGCCTTTCGGATTATTGATAATCCCATTCTCACGGACCGTTTGGAACCTCTGGTTCTGCGGAGGGACTTCTGTTCCCTCTGTATTTTGTACCGTATGTTCCACGGGGATTGCTCTGAGGAATTGTTTGAGATGATACCACACCTCGTTTTAACCATCGCACCGCCCGCAACCGGAAGAGTTCATCCATACTAAATGGAACCACTGCATTCATAGTGCGTTTCCAGATATCTTTTTTCCCACGTACCATCCGGCTTTGAAATGAGCTCCCCTACACGGTGTTTCCCAAGCATTAAACGGTGGGCAGCGGCTCGGCTTTGCCTCTGGCATTGCTGACGCCCATGGGCGACAGTAACCACTCACCATCAGGTGGGCCGTATGCTCGTCTGCCTACAAGCGCAATAAAAAAAAAAGCTCTTCCACATATCATCCCACAAGCTCAATACGAAGGGTAACGATTAGGTTAATTACACTTCTTAATTACATAAATAATTAAATTAATTAAATATCTACTTCAGTTCCTTCCATAGATATTTAAGCTTCCTTCTACCCATCTATTTCAATTAGTTTGCTGGATCTGGAACTGAAACTAGCTTGGTTTCCAAAAGTAATTTGTGTATCCGAGCTAGGTAAATGAATATTAACAAATTTGAACGCACCTCAAAAATTGATGAAACATGTTTTTTCCACTTTCGAGACCAAGAATTTGACAGCTGTTTTGACGGCAGTTCGTTATTGGTCCTTCGCTTCGAAATATTGACTCATTGCGAAAACCGGCCAATAACAGAATCTGAATGACAACATTCATCACGAAATTTCGGAAAAGGGAAACAAACTATAACGACAAAGAGGTGTCGGCAACACGTCGTGTACTTACTTTAAATTGTTTTCATCCTAAAAGAAGAAATACTTCTTATTGCGCTTGACTCGAACACGTACTTTTATTCAATTTAGTAAATAAAGTAATCGGTAATTATTATAAAAATCGAATACGCTTAATATTCGGAATAAAATTCGACGAATCTCAACGTGAATTCGGGCGTCGACCGGTCATCCCTCCTACCCGTAACCGTCGTCGATTCCTTCGGCTACAATCGTCATTTTGTAGTTATCAGAGCCGTGCGCGGCCACGGGTATAGAACGTAGAAGAACGCGCTTTTTGGTAACTTAAACACTGTGTTGTGAGGTGTGGTGTCGGTCGGGTTGACCGTGTATATGTTGTATATAGTGTCGGATTGCTGCAGTACGGGCCGCGAGTGATCGGGCGGCACGATGGTGGACATGGATAGAAACGACCCGGAGCTCCGGTATCTGTCGGTGGATAGAAACAGCTTCAATGATCCAGCTACGCAGGCGGAATGGACGCAGAAGAGGTTAGTTTGGGTGCCTCACGAGAACCAAGGATTCGTAGCGGCCGGAATCAAAGGAGAGCGAGGAGATGAAGTTGAAGTGGAGATAGCCGAGTCAGGAAAGCGGATGTTGGTGCCCATAGATGATATCCAGAAAATGAATCCACCAAAGTTCGATAAAGTGGAGGATATGGCTGAACTGACCTGCTTAAACGAGGCTTCTGTTCTGCACAACATAAAAGACAGATACTATTCTGGACTCATTTATGTAAGTACTAAAAAATTAAATTTATTTCCACGATAATATTTATATAACTTTGACATGATGATGAAAAATGTTCTAATAGGATTTCCCATTTTCTTAAAATGAAGCCAAATACCGAAACCAAAATATTTGACATTTAGTTCACTTGAAGCCTATAACATTACAGCTGTTGAACAAAATTTAAATTATTACATATCAAAAACCACCTGGTACTTAAATGATAAAGTTAATTTAGTATTTTTATCTAGGTTATGATGAGTCATAATCAAATCTTTAATATTAAATCACTCAAGTGTACAGTCATTCAATAATTAAACCAATTTTAGTTTTACATACAGTAGATATAATATACTAATTATGCATTCTGTAATAAAGTCACTATGAAAATAAAAACAGGGATGCTATTAAAAAATGCAATAACAAATTACTATTAGTTATTTATTATGCCTTAAATACTTGTTCATTATCATTAGTAATTTCAAGTGTGAAGAACGTGTAAAGCAAAGTGGAGGTAGCTCACATTTGCCTGAAAAGTATCACCTTTGCTACCAGTTCTGTGTTGTGCAACGAAAAACAAAAAACCCTTACCTTTCCACAATAGCTTCAATTAGGATGTTTGAAAATTTTAATCTCAAGGAGATCTTAAATGTTTATTACTCATTTTAAGATAAAATACTGGTTGAGGTAAGTCACCCTTATATTACTATTAGAGAATGTCAATACTCTAATAGTACCAATTATGTTGCATTGAAAGAAAAACAAAACTATTGTCTAAATAGTTTCTTTTTGTTAAACAATTAAGGAATTGCACCTTAAAATTTTTTAGGTAACCACACAACATTACACGCCACAATCATGATTGTGTGTCGACTCATCCTTAAAGCATATCATCACATACTTTATCTTATCACATAACTCACGTTGTTATATTTTTTCTTACAATCCTTATGTGTATGTTTATTTCTAATTCTTAGTAATAACACTACTTACAGTATTTTCTAAGTATTTTGTGAGTAGTACGCCTGATTAAAAATACTTATGCGGTATAAAAATCTATCTATTAACAAAAACTGTAGAGAATATCTAAAATTATGAAAACATTTTGAGAAAATCAAAATTTGAGATTAAGGCACACTATGAACTTAAATAGGTACCACTAGTTAGCGTGATTGTAACAGAAAACATCTATGAGCTTTGAAATGTGGTACAGCTGCTCTGTTGATAAATATATATATGTAAGATTTTAACGTCTTAGGAGAATGGCGGCACATTGTGGTTGAATACAATATAGACTGTAAGTTCAACAGCCCAAGAAATAATGGCAATAATAATAATCCCAAGAAATACTACTACAGGACTCTCTACTACTCTTTGTTGATCGGTAGAAAATGCCTCAGTCAGCCACTGTATTCTTGTTCACAAAATTTTATAAATAATGATTAAGATCTTCATTTTAAAATCAAGTCTTAAACTATAACCTAAATACAGATAGCATAGCTTTGAATTAGTCTCGAATACCATTATGAACTCTTAAAGATCTTGGCTATACAGCGAAAGCGTATGGTTGCAAAATCACAAGGCTATAAAGTTAATGGTATAAATTATATCTTTGGAAATACGGGAATATGCCAGGCTATAATATATATACAGCTCTAAAAATAGAATAAAATAAACCAAAAGCCAAGCAGATTAGTTAAGTTTTTGAAGATGACGTACGTGAACAAGATAGTACAACTGACCATCCGATGCTAAGCTATGAATGTTTCTTTTTTGGTCAATTTCAATGGCATTAGTATCTTACCCATACAATTTCCGAAAATGAAATACGGAGAGGTTCACATTGGAACAAGATTCCTATCCTAGCCTCGGACTCAACGACGATTTCTTGGTGCACACAGAGAAGAGCACTCTCCCTCTTACGCCTCGTCGCCTGTTTGTACAGTATGCTGCACTGGCAAAGGTCCACAATAACCCGGGAGTATTCGTCGCTGATCAGCATAGCAATCACGAGACTTGACAGAGACAAGTCACATCAGCAGTGTTGCGCTCTGCTGGACTCAGAGCTGATCTAAGAGCTGCTGGTACTTTCTGAAGCATTCGTACTCGAGCAGCACCTGCACTACTGCACTAGACTTCGGTATTCTTTTAACACAAAAGTCAACCTGTTTATCAACAGCAGAGATTAACTGTTAATTGGTGGTAGGACCTCTTGTGAGTCCGCGCGGGTAAGTACCACCGCCCTATTTCTGTCGTGAAGCAGTAATGCGTTTCGGTTTGAAGGGGGGGGGCACCCGTTGTAACTATATTGAGACCTTAGAACTTATATCCCAAGGTGGGTAGCAAGTTTACGTTGTAGATGTCTATGGGTTCCGGTAACCACTCAACAACCAGGTGGGCTGTGAGCTCGTCCACCCATCTAAGCAATAAAAAAAAACTGTAAAAAAAAAGTTAATACCTATCTAAGGTTTGTAACATTGCGATAATATCATATAGAATTTAACCACAGTGTTACCAATGCTGACCGGCCATCGACAGCGATCATCAGGTTCCCCGCTAATGGTGCTCTCTATTGTTATGTTAATGAAAGGATTTCATGCGTCATTCTGAACTTACATTGATTAATACGTTGCCTTTCCTATGTACGGACTTTGATTGTCGATTTTGCGGTCATTTTTTTTGGGTGAGTGAGGTTTCACCTTTGTGTCAGAGGCCCAGGATGCACAGGCGAACTCCAGCGCTCGAGTAGGATCGGCGGGTTTGGTAAAAACTGCTCGAGCACTCCAGTGGAAACCGGATAGCCCAAACGCGGCTGCTTCGCAAGCGCATCTACCACTTTCCACCTAATTACGAGTTATATCCTGCAAATCGAAAATTACCGCTGCTTTCTTGTAGGAATATTCTCAAAACTACTGATAAGTACTAGTAAGTAATACTAAAGCACACGGACACAACAGTCCGAAAACCTAAAAAATAATTGCTATAAATCCTGCACTAAATACATATGAATATAAGAACACAAATTATGAAATATTTGTACATTGTATTGATTAGCGCTTACAGACATCATAATACTTTAACATAAACGCCACTACTCATCTTGAGACACGAGACGAATCGGAATCAATTGGAATAACGGATACCCAACTATTCAAAGCAGAACGCCTGATTGCTTCACAGATGTAAAGTACTCCTCCCTCGCGTCGTTTTTCTCATTACTGAGGATCGTGACTCCCGCGCTGCTTCAATCTCTCTTTACGATAGTTCTCTATCTGCTGCGATCCTTGGCCTCGTGGAGGGTATCATGGAGCCTGATATCCAGACAAGATCGAATTTGGTCCGACCATCTCGCGGGACTGTGCGTCCTTTGGGACGTTTGCCCTCTATCCTGCCCGTCGGTATCAGCTGCTCAAGATGGCGACCATCCTTTCGAGCAAAGTACCCCCTACCAAACCGGTATACAATAGAATCGATATTTGTTGTAATAGTATTATGTGTGTGAGCAAGAGGCTAACGATGTATCCGTACATTTAATAGGTTCATTGAAATAATAAGCCGTGCGTCGCATATGGCCTTACAATGTATACTTTCGTGGACTACGAAATGGCATTCGACAGTGTTGAACTCACTCAAAGTGTTGTACAAACCGGCAACTCAATGTTTGGCATGAATCTGTAAGATCGAATCCGGTAAGATAGTAGCAGATCTGAAATGGAGTTGGTCTGAACAATTAGCAAGACGAAACCAGAGATTAAGTTGTAGGTGACGTGGTGAGAATGGCGGGCGATCGAACATGATGGCATAAAAATATTAATGGTATTTTACTAGTGGTAGGATATCTTTTGAGAACGCACGGGTAGGTACCACCACCCTACCTATTTCTGCCGCGAAGGAGTAATGCGTTTCAGTTTGAAGGGTGGGGCAGCCATTGTACTGTAAAAAATGAGACCTTAGAGCTCATGTCTCGAGGTGGATGGCGGCATTTACGTTGTAGATGTCTATAAGCTCCGGTTACCACTTAACACCAGGTGGGCCGTGAACTCGTCCAACCCTGAAATCTATAAAAAAATAATACAAAAACGGGCTGAAGATGATGATGAATGTATACTTGTAATATAATAATATACATTTATAATTTTTATTAATATCCATTAAAGTTTGTAACTGTCGATTGCGAAATTTAAATAAGGTATAAACTGGCCGTTTCAATAAATTCTTACCGTTACCTTACTTCGATAACCTGATAAAAATATAAATAAAAATAATAAATAACAGCATGAAACGTGAGTTCGTGTCCTTGCACGATTCCTTACAAAAATAATAACAGATTACCGTTAGTTACCATTAAAAACACTTTCCCTACAACTGTATATATTTAAACCCATTTAAAAAAACATCCAATTAATATGAAATATTCAGCGAATTAACAATTATTCACCGTCGAATATTACATTGATGACATCATTCAGGTCGTGGTTGAATACAGGATGTTTTCCTTAAAGCCTCAATGTACAACCTTTGGATGGGGTCAAGCGAAACGTGTTCAATCAAATTTTAATATTATTATTGTTCATGTAATTCACATTAGACAATCCCTAAAAGATCAAAAATCATTTTCGTGCTTGGTGAGATTATGTAATTAAAATGCCCCTCGTATTTCTTTCATAAACTAAGTGTAACGATGCTAGCGCCTCGCTTGATGAATAGAGGGAACTATTAAATTTCAGGGACGTGTTCTTTCAGCTATTAGAGCGACGCAATCGAGCGTGGGGTGTTGTATTATATTTTTTCTATCACCTATCAAATGACTATCTAGGTGTCTTTGGGGGTCAGAGATTCCAGTCGACGCCATAGATCACAGATGTCTTGAATCATTACTTCGACTTAGGAAAAACTTGTCAATGGTGACGTGAATCAAAAAATAGAAAATTGAAATTTTCTAAAGATATCAGTAATAAGTGTAAGAACCGTGATCGCAATGGTTTTGTTCTCCTCGGATCTTCTCA